TTTTTCGAATAAGTTTGGAAAAAAACCACGTTCCTAACATTAGTGTATTATCAGTTTTACTAATCTCTCATCAAGTTTACGCATTATAGTGATATTATTGTCTGTGCATCCTTTCGCAGGCGATTACTTTTTGTGAACTTTTTCTTTATTTTATTTGAACGCTTTTGCGTTTTCTCTTTGTAAAATTTGAAATGAATAATTTGTCATTTCATAAGAGTAGCGTTGCCGTTTTGGCATCCCTAACACTATCTTCAAAAATATGCATCCGATTTTGATAAAATTTAAGATATGACGACTTGGAAGTGCGGTAAATAAAATTTCGAATGTAAATGTACCCTTTTGGCATATTAACTATTTTGTAGAGTATTTAGACTGACGAGAAGTCCCTTCACTAAGGCCACGACATTTTATTCGGGAACATCTCAATATCACGACCTTGCATCATAAAACAAGGTCACCTCTTTAGATATGTAACAGGAGAATCCTCTTCCCCAAGACGACTTTTTTCGCCGAGGAGATCCCAGGGTACGACCTTGCATCATAAAGGAAAGTAACTCCTTAGTTACGTAACCGGAAAACTCCAAACCACAACCTTGATCCAACACCACGACCTTGGGGCAGTCCAAGGTCACGACCCAAACCGGGTGGGAAATTGTTTTAATTCTATATTTCCAATAACATTCTCAAGGTAGTTTCAAATATCGGTAAATTTAACAGTTTTCGACATTTTTTAATTTCTATGTAAAAATTACGCTTGCAGTCCAAAGCGTACAGAAAAAACTGCGTTATGGAAGTTTTCTTCATCCACGGGACTGCTGGAATGAAGTACAGGCATGTTGGAGTCTACTGACGATTGACGCTTGTAAAACGTTCCATGCCCTTCATGATAACGTGACCATTTTTTTTTATTTATTCCAGAACGGGACGTGTGCCGGTAATTTTCCTCGTGTTCTTTTTACGGCCTGCAAGACTTCGCGTTGAATCTCCTCTCTGAAACTTTTCTGGACGCATCACTACTATTTTTTAATTTTTTAACACGCCCCAAAATGGTGCTCGCGGTTATTTATTATTCGTTCAGCCATTAAGCTTTGTCCTTTCAGACCAATCATACTTAGAAAAGCCATTGCTAGAATCCTTTAAGAACTGCAAACTCATCGGTTCTCACTTTCCCATGCTATTAACTTAAAAATAAGAATAAGAATAAAAGCGGGTGTGCCTCACTCTCTATAAAATATGATATGCTGATTCGAAATTGATCTAAGCAAAATCTGAGCAAATCTAAAGGTGTTTAGACTCAGTCCTGACATCGATGTCGAAGTGATAAATAGCGAAATACGCGCTCCTATTAAAAATGTGCCCGCACGTAAGTTTAATTGTTAATATTAAGCCCAGGTATAAATTCATCAATAATTAATTTGAAAATATCGTAATTAAATTGACGTTACACTACATTTTTCTAACAGAATATACCGATACCGATATCGCAATGTATGAAGGCCGATAACGATAAAATATCGGCGCATCGGCCATTTCTTTATTTTATTTATTTTGTCTTTATTTTTAAGTGAACGGGGTTTCAGCAGAAACTGTTCTACTCCTTATACATTTACAAATTTCCATATCCGAACCCGGATTTAGTACTCGGTAACCCGGAAAAGATTGAATTTACGCTTCTTACAAATTTTGCTTAACATTGAGAGAAAAATTGGAATATCGAATAATATACAGGGCGTTTCATTAAAAACATTCAATTTTGGTGTGGCACGCATTTATAACTAACCCTGTATAATTAAAATGATTAGTCCATAGCGACGTCCATAGTAGACATCTCGGTAGACATTGAAGAACCCCAAAACTTTTGTATAACCTTTTTTTTGACATCTTGTATATTTTCTCCAATATTCGACCGTTTCTAAACTGATGAGCGTTTATTTTCAAAATTCGCTAACCCGAAAGAGTTTGACTTTGGGTACAGCTTCTTAATTATTCTTAAAATTGAAGGAAAAACTGAAATATCAAATAATATACAGGGTGTTCCATTTAAAAATTCAATATTGGTGTGCCACAATTTTATGGGTAACCCTGTATAATACAATTATTACTTTCTAGTAGATCTTAAAAAACCCTAAAATGTGTGTGTAACATTTTGATATCTTGTATATTTTTCCGGATAATCGACCGTTTCCTGACTTATCAGCGACCCTGTATGTGATACGTTACACTGCAAAACGGAAATACGTGTCTATACCATAATCCATGTTTCCCTATAATTTAGTATTTCCGCTAAATTTTGGGCGCGTAAGGTGAGGTAGGAAGTTTTATACCCCCCTCCCCACCGCGGGGGGCTGCCGTAGGAGGCGAAAACCCCACTTTTTCGGGCGGGAAGTTATTCCACATACGGGGTTGGTACTTTCGCAATCCGCAGCCGTTAGGGAGTGGGCACTTTTCGATTTGGCTTCGGAGGTGTCGAGTCGCACCTCCCTCTCATCCCCCAAATTGTTCATAAATGGCACTTTCCTCTTACTGTGGCGTTTATTCGAAAACTACGAGGGCCAGAACGATGCCGTTTCTTACGTTGGATTCCTATATCGATCGATTGTACTCTAGAATCGACGGCCATTTGGGCTCGCACTACCCCATCCCCTTCCGCTGCGGTTTGGGCGTTGACCTTGCAGATCCATTGCGCTTCCGAGGCAGCGGGTCGCACCACTCCTCGATTTGTGTAAATGCGCGAAGCCTGAAATGTGTCTTGTGCGAGGCGAAGCCGAGCAATGTGTCAACAGCCCTATACAAGTGTGGAATTGGGTGTCACCTACATTCGGCCGTTGCCCCCCCCCTCCCTCCCAATCGCCTATGCGCATGCGCAAAACGCAACTTTCATATATATGGAGCAATTGAATCCAAATTTCTATGGTAGATCCCTCTAATAAAAGCAAACTAAATGCATACCTACGCAGAAAGTGGTACTGCGCATGTTCAAAACTCGACTTATTTATGTTAAGTAAATGATCAAGTACAATTAAAACAGAGTCGTATGCCATTTATAGCATGGAACGAAATGAGATACCAAAATCAAATAGGTATATATTACACCGAAAAAATGAAGAGACAAACGTAAAGAAAAGAAAAACTCACGCTAATCAAGTCTTAAAATGCGAAGCATTTTTACCAACCTATACGATGAAATTGATTTTAAAATTGACAATCGATATATTGGTGTTTTTTTGAGCCGAATCAAATCTCTTTTTTTGTATTTTACACGTTTTACGTATCATTACCTAAAAACAACTCTCTTAACAATTAAACAAAAAAAAAGAAATTCTGTACGGTAAAACCTCGGGTACAACATTATAAAACGGCGTATGCTAACAAAACGGCGGTGATATCTATACATATCTAGTTAATTTGACATAAATAAATAACGCAATTAAATTTACGTTACCCTACGCTTACTTACAAAGCTTTTACACCCCAGAAGAATCGTATACCAGAATTTCTAAAAATCTTTCGAAAATTATCTCAAAAACACCTCTAGAATCTCTGAAGTTTTACGGTACATTTTAAGGTACAGAACCAGTGGGGGTACACCGGTGGCAAAGTCGGTTGAAATCCGAGGATGTTTGTAAATTAAAATTTTGGTTTATTTTCTATAAACATGTGATGAATTTTTAAACAAGAAAAAAAATCTTCGCACTTTCCATGTACAGAGAAATACTTCCCGAAAGACTATATGGACACAAGCACTTTTATTGTTTAACAATTTACCATACGCACTCCCCGCATTCGATTTTTGATTTGTGCTATGCAATGTATACGATGTACTAGAAGCATCTGTTGTTAAAATTAAAAAAAACATCCAAGTAAATTAAAAAGTTGATATTGCGCAGTCTGCGCATGCACACAACTGATTTTTACATATGCGATATGTTTGTCTTTACTAGATGCATCTATGGTTAAAATTTTAAAAAAAAGTTGACATTGCGCAGCTTGCGCATGCGCACATTAATCGCCAAGATCTCTCTTGGCTCAGGTGTTGGGGCTATAAGCTACCGAACTATGTAAACAGAATGAAAACTGTAAGAGCTCGGACGGACGGACAGAGAAAGTGTCTGCAAGGAACATACGCTAAAAATGGGGCGTCTCATTCCTTGGACTGTGATTATTTGAAATGATTTACTCGCAATTTTAGCAAAGGCGAAATTAGATAATGATGTGCTAATTTTACATCATTTTTGGGCGTAGCTCACCAACGAAAGAGGGTCAAACCCTCAGTTTGATTTGAAAAAAAATATCCTCGTGTTGTTCCCCTTTAACTCAATTTATTTATCGACAAACTTAACATGTCACACCCTGTAGACACAAATAAAGGAATGAGCTGTACCCACTTCTGATTAAGTTTCAGAATGGATAAGTATGACTTTTCCTACTCCAACATGTGGAAAATGTGATATCCTGGGGTCTTTGAACGTGAAAATAGAGAATCCAAACTTAGGAACTGAATTGTGAATGAGATTCCCACTTGGGGTAAGGCAAATTCAATGTTAATAATTCATGAACATGAATAGGTTATCTATTTAAACAGAATTAGCCTCGGAATTAGCGATGCACAATACTTTTGATATTGATATCGTATAGATTTTGGTGGCAACGCCCCCATCCCCCACATGCCGCGCATTGATTTTTTGAGACTTTCGTTTATAGAGTTTCAATTACGAAGTGATTGCAATATAATTGCGTTTTCCTTTTATTCGGCTCGTTTAGAAGCAACCCGACTCCCTCGAACCCGTTTTATTGTCCTCTTCCCGAAATCGGAGTGCATTCACCCTATACACCTCACTTAACGACTAAAGAAAATTTTGAAATTACACAGCCTCAAAATCAAGCCTTCCTTAACAGCGCCAACCGTTATCAAAGAAGGCCAAAGAGCATGCAAATAGCGTAATTTAATCTACTTTATTTATAAAATTTCAATATTTTTTTATATAAAGAAAGTTACATACCACATTCGCTTAGGGGAATTTTCGACAAGTCTCTGAAAAATCCAAAAGAAAAAATAATGACCAAAAAAACGTATTAAGTTCATTTAAATATTTAAAGTACCCCCAACTTCAACCGGCCTCTTATGGCGACTAAAAAAATAAATAAAGGCGCACAAGGCGTATAAATCAATAACGGCTTACTTTATTTCATAAATTCCTTCCGATGATAATAATAATAAAACGTGCAGGATTTTTTAAACTAAAATTTTTACACTAAATTAGGAAAAACGAAATGAAAGATAAATTAAGAACTCCACCCTCTTGCAAAAAGTCATTGATCTAAAAAAGCAAATTGGGAAAGTGAAACGGAATTTTCGTAAAAAAACTGATAATGTCGGGCAAATTGTTCTGGGAAAAAAAACCTACTTTTATAAACTTGAAAATTGAAAATCAAAGGCGGCCGGAAAAACCAGGCAATTAGCATGCGAAGTCCTACCTTAACGTGTAGAAAAATTGGTGTCCAGCAAATTTTTTGTGCACATTTGTTCAAGGCACTTTTGTTGTAATTATTATAAAAACACTCGGTTTGTTCAGTTCAATAATTTAGAAAATTGAGAATTCTCCGAAAACGTCACCGCCCTCTACTTTGACAGATGTCAAAATCACGCCCTACACACACGTCAAAGATTTACGAATTATATCACTGATCACTTAATTTGTACTTTAGGAGCGAGTATATAAATTGATATAAAAACAATTCCGTCCAAAACTTACGTGTCAATTATCATAGAGTAACACCGCTACCCATTTAGCAACAAATCCCCATCACACCCCAAAGCTAAAATGACATTTACATCGTGACGTCATACAACAACACGGTATACCGACTTCTTCGATAAACTCGTGCGCAATGCGCAATAACGCATTTGCAGAAAACCAGGAAATGCACAAATGTACGGAAATTTGAAAAATCCAACCGACCCCCTTTTATCGCACACACAAACCCTAATTTCATAACGGGGTAGAACGCACTTTTACTAAAGAGACAGGAGCGCATTCGAAGGTGTAGATTTGCGATATTTTTAATTAATTCTTTTAGAAGTGCGGGTTTATCGTACTAGAAATAGGCAACACAGCTCGCAAACGTGTCTTTCATTGTCTAAGATTGAAGATCTTGGATCCTGTATTTTCTTTGAAATACAATTTACTGGCCGTTATAAGCCATTTTCCTTCTGTACAAAAATAATCAATTTCTTTTCACATGTCTCCTGGAAACACACTTTCCAGGTTCTGGGGAGTACGTAACTTCGGACTCGCCAAAATAAAGAGCTGAGTCGGTGTAAGCCCTATCAACTGGAAAGTAGCTGCCTGTGTGTTTACCGAGGAATCTCCCTGAGATGGGCGGTCAACACGCTCAGCCTATTTAAGAGTGCATGACCGGACGGGATATTCCCGGCTTTTGTACAGAAGGGCCTGGAGTCGCTGGTCTTACATTTGTTGCACCTCTTTAAAGCCTCCCCGTCTTTTAGGGTATATCCCCGAAGGTCCAAAAGTTGGAGAAAGATAAGAGTTATGGGATGTGCCAAATATGACATGGCTAAGATTACAGGCCCATTAGCCTATGATCGTTTTTTCTAAAAATGGTGGAGGCAGACATAAGAAATGGGGTACTGGGCCTAGAGCACTACTACATCCATTCCAACATGCTTCAGGGCTGGTATGTCCATGGAGACGGTTCCTCAACGCCTTGTGTGAAGGCCGGTGAGGGGAATGTCTAACGCGGGAGGGGGGGGGATGGCATTAGTGTTGCTGCTGAAGGCTTTGGTATTGCTCGGAAGAAGCAGGGTCATTATATCTTCAATCTGGACGACGGAGATGAGCTCCTTAGCTTCCACTGCTGTGGTGCCTGGCAAGACGAGCTCTCCTACACTTTGAACGAGGATGAAGAGTATCTGCGTATGTATACACGAGGCATACGCCATACGCGGACTAAACCACAACGAAAGCGCTCATGAAGGGGGCTCTTGAACAGGTGTATAGGTGATACAGTAGCCATGGCCTTTTCGTTATTCAGGAAAAAACCGGGGTTGTTCGGCCGTTTACGAACAGAAGGAGAGCGGACGTTAATAGGTTCACTATTCAAGGACGTTAATTGGGTCTGACCACGCCAGAGAAATATTTGGGAATCATCATATACTGCCGCCTGACCTAGGAAGCGCACATGCCTATGGGCATTATGTAGCAGGACTTTTATAGCTGTACAGTGTGTTCTATTTTGGTTGATACTGCAGTGTATTTTCAGCTGTTTATAGACACTCTTTGCCACTTTTCTGTGAAACTGTTAATATCACAAACAGAATGAAATATAGCTAATTTTATATTTCTAAGATACAGGGTGAAGATAAGTTTCACTTTTTAGGACGTTATTCCATGTAAGATAGAAAAAAGGTAAATACTGCCTATTTTAGATATTTTACGTAGAATCCAGGGGTGTAAAAAATGTTGGACCACCATTTCTGAGGTTTGACACAAACTTGCAGTATTTGCAGGTATTTTTGAAATGCAACACTCTGTATATCTTTCGTTAACTTTTTTGCAATTTTTTTCCTGATTACATATTGATGTATCACAATCTATATTTTTTTTTATTTGTGCCATGGACAAAAAATAAAAACTTTATTTTTTTTACGTTTTTTAAATAGTAGGTCATGGATTTATAGAGATTTTGTTTTGTTTATTGTATTTAAGTATAGTAACAAAGACTATAATAAAAATCTCCGACCAAAGAAGCAAATCGTTTCAAAATTTTAAAAGATTTGATATAATGTACCTATAATAGCTAATAGGTACTAACGTTTAAATAAAATGGTACTTATATCAAAGAGTACCTATCTCTTTGCTAATATGTATACCTATAATCATTGAATATCCAATATTCAGTGCTATAACATTGAATAAGTATAATTATAGGTAACTTATTCAATGTACATAATCATATAAAAAAGTAGGTATAGATTGTGATACATCAATGTAATCAGAAAAAGAGTGTAAAAAATTGAAGAGAAGATATACAGGGCATTTCAAAAATACCAAGTTTGAGTTGAATCTCAGAAACAGTTACTCCAAAATTTTTTTACTACGCCACTGATGGATTTTCCATAAAAATATCTAAAATAGGCTGCTCTTACATTTTTCTAACATAGGTAGTAAGATAGATTTAGTCCAAAAAAAGTTGAACTTTTCGCTTCCCCCCTTTATCTCAGAAACAATAAACGTAGCTAGAATGATTCTGTTTGTTTTCACAAAAAAGTGGCACAGGGTCGCGAAAACCGCAAATCTATATCTCTAAAAACAGCTTGAGATACACTGCAGTCTCAACCAACATAGGACACACTGTGTATACATATATAGAGTTGGAACCCTCGATTTGGTTTTACACTGTAGTGATAAAGCCAATATGTACCTACTGTACGGCGCATTTGTATGGTGGCCTGCCATGCCTAGGGAACCTACCCCTACAGGTAGCACTTAGGTAAGGTACAGAAACTTTGCTTGTCTAGGAGTCACTGGAAGCATGAAAACAACGCCAACTTTGGCCACAGAGGCGCTTTTGGGACTAGAGTGTTTTACTATATCAAAAACCTTCGCGGGCATAGGTAATTGATTTGTTTGACAGTTTTTACGCCTCTGGCCTGAAGTCGTGGTTATGGATTCTTCGCTAGAGCCGTAGTATAGATCTCGCTTTGGTGCCATCTACTAGTTATATTGCGGTTTAAAATGAGGAAAATTGTTCTCTTACGTCCGTACAATACACAACAAAAAAAGAATTATATAATTTGGTGCAGTAGTTTTGAAGTTATGCGTGTACATACATTTCGGCGATTCACATTTCCCACCCGCACGTTTGTAAGAGAGGTATTCCATTGGGGTAAAAAATGACACCCCTCCCCACTTTTTTTTACGGAAATACACGTTTTGAAACACTAGGACTCCGAATCAAACAAAATCTCGATGATGTCGATCTGTCTGTACTCTCAATGGGGGCATCCCGGCTTCATTTTTTTACCTCTGATCTACATAAAGTACATTAAAAATGAAAAGACCCGTGTGTCTTCAATTTTTATTTGCGAGTAAAATAAACCCAAAAACTATTGAAAAGCTGTGTTTTAGTCCGAATTTGAAACCCTTCTGTCTAAATACGTCACAAACCTACAACCTATCACGTAGAAGTGAGCCGGCAACCTTGTGCGAGGGTCTGACGTTTGTCGGATTTGATGTTCTTTAACTGCATCTAATGCGAAAGTGAACGACAAGTGACATAAGTGTCTGGTGACCACAGCCGTCTATAATTATAGACTACAGCCGTCTATAATTATAGACGGCTGTGCTGTGACAGGTGACGCAAGTTACAAATGACATTCTCCTGCAATATTGCCAATTCGTTATGACATCTGAATGGTTCTAGGAGCTGATTGGTCGGGCTTATTACGTCACAGAGCCCGCCACAATCATATCGTTTTGAATAAACCCTTAAAACCGCACATGTTCATTTTTTTTTGATAATTAGCCTCTAATTTTAAATAAACTTTTACTGTCCAAAAAATTGTTTTATGGTTTCAGGTACACGCCACGCTTATTAAATTAGAACTACGGAATTTAACTATACTGATGTAAACCCCCGCCCATTCCGGCTAAACCAATTGGAACCCAATTTGGTACTTACACATATCTTTAGACATAAAAGGGCAGAATCGCGCATGCGCAGGTGGTATCTGTGCTAGCCACAGCAAATTTTTCTTTGGTGCGCGTAAAAAAAACGCGCGCGCTTGGGTTCGAACCAGCGTTATCAACCTCTATGGAGTCTCTAGAAAGCACTGGAACGGCCCAAAAGAGTATGGGTATTACAAACGCTTTCTAGGCACATTTCGGAGCCATCTAAGGCCCTTTTTCAGAAGTCTCTACACTTACTTTATCAGAAAAGAGAATACAATCTTCGTGAATGTTGCTCTATATGCATACTGAAATAATATCCGGTCCAGGTCTAGTAGGTAGACACGCAAGTTTGTTGATTAACGATCAAGCGGTAATAAATATTATCCCCTGCCCTATCAGGTTTCCAAAAATTTTGAATCCTGTTTGCAATTTGTTAATGCTCCAAATTGTATCCTTAAGCCATAAAAATCTTGTTTTAAACAAGAATTGTATTAGTTGGTACCACTTGGTATGATAATGTATCTCTTTTACACCTTAAATCCCAGTATTTAAAATGAATATGGTACAAAATAATCTAGAAGACGCAATACTTTGCAATCCAAAACTTTGAAAGAAATTCGTCTCAATACGCAACAACTTTAAGAAGGGGGCAGTGTAATGTACTTGTGGCATTAGACTGTGAAATGAGATTTTATTCAAGTTCTGAGATTAAATCAAATGTAATTTTACATTCTTTACCCACAAATCACCGCCAAAAGCAATGCAGCCAGCAACAAACAATATTGAATTTATTTTAAAAAGTTAAGTGAAATGTACAGGTCCAGTTGGACATGCTGCGCAGGTTCAATAGATGCACATAATTGACACCCTTTAAAATAGTCCTAAATAGCTATATAAAACAAGAATTTGTATCACAAAGGTTTCTTATATTTTGCTTGAATCCAAACTCGATACATTTTTAACATTCTTCCCCTATTGACTTGCAGCCTCCTGTCAACATGTATTTCTTCTTTAACAAATCCAACCCTTTCAAATAAATTCTTCACCTCATCTAAAAAAGAATCTAATTACCTACTTATTGCAAATTCCGTATACCTTCAGTAAAGAAATACGCCTGTGTTCCATCCCCTCTTACATAAAAATTCTCCTCCAAGCACTGGCCCGGCTTAAATCTCAACTGTGCCAAATCATACCGACCGTAATCTCTAAACAGTACCATTCCCCCTGGTTTTACATACCGATACAACTTCTTCATGATGGAGACGACTCTAAATGGCGACAATGGTGAACTATATCGACGCTACCCTTAACACTTACTTCTCGGGTTTAATTGCAGATAACACAAAAATTAGCACAACAATATCCAGAGAGTTTTCTTCAAAGGGAACGCACCAATTTTCCGCAGTCGCATCCAAAGCAAATGCGTTACATCGATCTGCGTGGTACTCAGGATTCTCACGAAGCAAATCGATCGCCTGCGATGAAAAATCGCAACAGTACACAAACACATTTCTCTCCTTCGAATACTGCAGTATAGGGAAAACGGTATTGCCGACTCCACAGCCTAACTCGAAAACCGTTTTGGGTTGCTCGTCAGACGTACTAAAATTTAGTTCGGGAAATTCTGTAAATAACCAATGCCTGTCTTTGAAGAATCTGTTCGTGTGTATGTTATAAAAGGCGTCCCAGTGCTTCGATGCGTCTCTCTCATACGTTTCTGCTTTGACACGATCTAATTTAGTGGTACTATTCAGAGTCACCTTCTTTTGCGCCTCTGCTTCCTGAATGGCGTCCCACTCGACGTCGTCCCTACAATAACAAAGGACTAAAAAGTATTTTCGGGTTGCTTCGCGCTTACCATGCATTAAATTCAAATACTTTCTGTGCATCCAGTAAGTATCTCGATCCATGCAATGGTTTTTTGCGATATTTTGTATGGCAAAATTTGATTAATGTTATTAAACTGTAGTGCCTACCAAGCATTATGTTGGAAAACGTCTTCTTCATTTATTAAGAAACGATTACCAAAATGAGGCCTTTTAGAACTTTCTGTATCCATTTTTCTAGAGGTTATGTTCACATTTTTGTGGTTATGTTAACTTGACATAAGTTGATTGTGTCTAAAGTACCGTATTATGTATACTGGGGCTAAATTTTTTATATACAGGGAAGTGGTTTGCTTCACAAACTCTTTAGTACTTATTCACAATGGATAAATAATGCAAGATTGGGTAAATTAAATTTTTACAAAAACCAATACTATACTGTATTCATTATAAGAAGGTAGTAGATGGCGCTGTGTTTGAAGATAAGCACACACAGGAAAAATATAAAACTGCACCAAATTATTGTAAAGTAGAAATATCCAGCACTGCAAACAGAAATAAATCTTTGACACAAACATTTAATGACACTTCAACAGTTTAGATGGCAACAGAAACTACCAGCTTGCAAAATTCGCCACTCGTTTTATGTTTCAGCGTAATACTGACTCGTGTTTTAACCAATCACACTGAAGGTCAAAGCTTTCCTATGCTTTCTACCGCTACCTTCTTTAAAATGAATACAGTATAATTCCGTATTTAATTAAACTGTAGAAAATAAAATACCACACTCATTTTCGTAAGAGATCGTAAAGAACGTTCAATGTTATGTTTGTAGTGTACTGAACGCCCAGATTCTACGCTTCACGATTTCACGACTCACACTACAGTAACATGGAAAAAAAATCAACTCGGCAACGATTAAAAATTGCCACTCCGAATGGCTATTCCCTCCAAAAACTTAACAGATTTGCTTAAATTTGAAAGTGGAACGTGATAAAAAATCAAAAGCAGAAGGCCTCCTTACGTTAATTGTAAACAAGAACGTTTTAAAGCACAATCCACCTATACACGCCATTTGTAAATTACAACAGCGCCTCTGAATGTCGAAGTATTCATGAACCAAACCATCCTGTATAGTGTACACAAAGAACGTGACAGCCTGTATATGTTCAAATTATAGCAAATGTTTACGATTAATTAATGGACCTGCCATTAAAACGTCACGTATCATATGATATGTTTACTAAATTCCATCCAAAAAAGATAAAGGTGATCTTTTTATGTACAACCGCCTCTGTCCTAAATATTTGGTTCACAATTCAAGAAATGAAGGCAACTTTTTAAAACTCGCGCGTTTTGCGAATTGTCATCACAGATCACAAGACGGCAGCAAAATGGATGTCGTTGAGAGTAATCGCCGAAATTAACGAAACTAATAAATGAAGAGGTAAATGTTGGAATTACGTTCGCGATGTTCCCTTCTCAATTTCCGGATTTAGGTTAGAAAATGCCGACTACGAAAGAACGATCCCGAAAAGAACGCGAAAAATGAAGATGAGTCACTAAACCACAGCTGATAGGATGTGATATCCCCATTCAAAGGGAAAATTTTATTTTTATTTGAGGTAATTTATTATCAACGTAACTACATTACTCCATCCTACTATAAAGTAATCTTATCAATTACAACAAGACCCATTCATAATCCCTGGTATTTTAGGTTAGGTTTTTTTTATCTATTCCATTAGATAAATATTTAATTTGCCAAGGATCATATTATGTGAAATGTGTAATATTTCCCACTTACTTTGTCTGTGGTTTATTTCCAACGAGTTCTTTTAGATTTGTCGTTATGTTTGGACAGAACGATGATCGAAAGTCTTTCTAGAAGAGCGTTGAGTGGTTCTAGCGGGACATATCACGTACATGCACTAGAACTGGCTGCCGCACGTGAGCGTAAGTTGAAGGGTCTAAATGTGACCGTAACGTTTCTTGATGACACAGAGCACACCTTTCATGTTGAGAAACGTGCAAAGGGCTGTGTACTGCTCGATCAAGTTTATCAGCATTTGGAACTGGTGGAGAAAGACTATTTTGGATTACAGTTTTCCGAGAAAGGTTGCATACCGATCAATAATAAGCCCGAGTGTATGGTGAGTACGTCGCGTTAACCGAGCTCATTTTCTATTCGTCCACTTTGCAGCGTTGGCTAGATCCGTCCAAATCGATTAAGAAACAATTAGGAAACTGCCAATACCCGTTGTTTTTTCGGGTGAAATTTTACGTATCCGATCCTAGTAAATTACAAGAAGAGTATACCCGATATCAGTTTTATTTACAAGTTCGTAGAGATATTTTAGAGGAACGATTGCATTTACCGCCGAGTACTGCCTGCCTTTTAGCTAGTTACTCTGTTCAATGTAAGTCAAACATACTTGATTTTACATGTAAATCAATGAATCGATCTGAAATTGGCAACGATATACAATCTGCTAAAAAAAGTTGTGAATTAACACTATACTATTCAAGAACACCCCTAATTATGAAACAAACCATCTTGCCATTAGATATTCAGGTTTTATTTGATTATATAGTAAGTTTGGCAACCATGTTGTACAGTACAGGGTGACTAAACGATTGCATGGAGTGCTATTCTTGTATGATAATATGGTGCAATATTTTGAATTAATTATACAGGGTGTGATCACAAAGTTGGGGGTGAAAAAGTTCGATTTTTTCTCATTCTACACGAAATTCTACATGTTTTTTTATATATGTTCACCAAAAAAGTTATGGTCTATCATTATAAACTTGTAACATTTCATACTTGTATATCTTTTAAGGGAACACCCTATATATTTTTGTGTCATCGTTTAACTTATTCAATAATCTTTAACTTTTATTAACAATGTCATGTGGCTATCTCCAATGGTTTTCGAAATATCTGGATTTTCTTGGTTTGTTGCATTTTTATAGAGTAATTTGGCAAATGAAGTTACTCATAAAAAAAAAAGATTTACATATAAGCAAAACAAATGAAAGTAAATAAATTACGCTGTGTCTAAGACATAAATAATTATTTATTTTGCATTGTTATTTCTAATTATGAATATCATTGTTCCATGGGAGTTATGATCATTCAAGTTTTTTTAATTTTAGGTATCAAGTATAAAGTACAATATAAAATCATGCCCACTAAGTAATTGACTGAGCCATATTTTGTAAGGTGTTTCTCAAATGACACTATTTTACAAAAAAAAGTTACAAAATTGTACAAGTATTAGTAATTATTCTTTTTTAAATACAGGGTGTAAGGAGCAAAATTGTTTCTGGTCACCAGTGGCGTATCAAACTTCGTTTTTTTATATGGGATTACTTGAAAAGTACTTATGTTTTGTGTAACATGTTATACCCTTAACTTTATTGATTTCTGTTTTCAAAATTTGACCAATTTTCATTTTTTAGAGAAACTAAATCGCGCTGGCGGTTAAGTTTTGTATTGAGGCACAGAGTAAGACCTCTTTCACATAATTTTTTTAGGTAGTTTATCAAAAAAATAAAATTGTTGATTTTATTAAATTTCAAATTACACCCGCTTCAACAAATTATAGTTCTAGATAGCTGAAACTACAAAATTTCCATTGATATACAAAAATCTACACGGCACATATGGAAATTTCAAAGAAAAAACGAGTAGAACCGCCAATTTGTAGAAAAATGATCTTTTCCAACTCATAGTGTGCCATGATAATACAAAAGATGTTCACTTGTCACAATTAACAGTAAACTGTCGTCAGAATCAACATTGCGAAAATTAATTTTATTTCTTTATTTTTTATTTATAACTTTTAAAAACCATTAACGCTCAGGCATGTTTGATCAGTGAGCGCAGACCCATATATTTATGTTGGTTACATATGATGTAACATGTCACTTGTCACATTGATCGTCATGGCATATGTCACGTCACCTCGGTGAGCGCTCCGCCTTAGTCTACTTAAAGAATTCTAAAACTACCTCAAAAATTATCTTTTCTTCTGTATTATTACAGCAGAAATTGGTGATTACCAACCTGATGAGCACGGACCAAATTACCTATCTCATCTCCAATTAGTACCTGGACAATCGGATGATATGGAGAAAAAAATTGCTGAGCTACACAAACTACACAAGTAGGTAGAATTTTTTTCTTTTTACAGAACTTGTACGTATCAATCATGTTCCTCACACTAGCAGAACAAATACATGATAGTGTTAATTAATTTCCTGGCTTCTGGTCATCATGAAAATCGGGGGCATATTCCAAAATCTCAATTAATTAAGCGCGCTCCTAGTGAAACCACTTACGACTTAATCAGATGTTGTTTACTGCAACTCATTTAATTAGTTACTATTAATAGACTTATATGGGCGAGATCAAATTTTTAAATTATACTTATAATTAACCCCCATTGTCTCTTGGAAGTTATGAGGTTAGGTAAAAGGTCTCTTATCAAACAGATACTGGCGTAAAACCGCCTGGCCCTGCAGTTTTAAATCAACAAACAATTTTTTTGGTAGCTGTTCGAATGGGATACGCTTTTAACTTTTATTAAACAAGAATTGTCGACCAACGGCGAGCAATTAAAAAATAAGACGCAATTAAAAAATAAGTGACGTCACTCTCTTACTATCTTTCTCACTTCACTATTCTGAAATAGACGTTGGAAATTAAATACTACAAACATGAACTGAACAAAAACATTACAAGCACAATAGAAAATTACAATTTAAAATGTACAATACAAACCCTTTTCCACACCACCCAGGAGGTAGAATTAATGGTCTGCTTTTTTAACGTGGTATCCCCTGTACGCCTAATCCACCGAATATTTACAACTTAAAACTAAATATTTACATTAATTATTTATACTACACTGTTTTACAATTACGCAGGCAGTGAATCATATCCCTCAGCCATCCATTGACTTTTCGTATGATGCACGATATTTTTTCCTCTCCGGTCTTGAAATTACATCAATTAGTTTATAAAAAAGGGCGCTTATTTGAGGTGTGGTGGTGATTCATTTTTTGAATGTTTACTAAATATGTGATGACTTTTTCTAATCTTTTTTATTTTCACACCGCGCATCCTGACAGCACACGGCATGCTAGACTTCATAAGTTTCTAAATATTGAATCACAAATTTCTCTATTTTTTTTGTATACAACGATATGCATAGGCATTGACTCTTATCTCGAACGCACTGTTTATATGCATACCCTTTTCCACCACATCTACAAAGGCAACAATTTGGTATACAGGTTGCCTTCAATGAAACTCCACCCAAAAAAATGAAGTCACCCTGTTCTGCTAGCTTTAGAGTGACTAAAACTGTTTGTGGCTATACGTGCTTCTATTTTACAGGGGCCAATTGCCAGCCGATGCCGAATTTAACTTCTTAGATCATGCGAAACGTGTCGATATGTACGGGGTCGAGCTACATCGAGCAAAAGTAAGACCGATCCACCTATCTTCGGCTTTGTTAAGCACGTTCTTTTTAGGATAACGTAAATAAAGATTTAGAACTGGGCGTCACCTCGATAGGTTTAGTTGTATTTCAAAACAAAATACGCATTAATACATTTTCGTGGTCGAAAATCATGAAAATATCGTTCAAACGAAGACAGTTTTTTATACAGTTAAGGCGCGAATTGGTAATTTTTTCGCCCGGTGAATGATTTTATATTAAAAAAATGATGTTGCAGTCCGAATCGTACGATACGGCTTTAGGTTTCAATATGGAGACGTATCGTTCGTCGAAGACTCTTTGGAAGGCGTGCGTCGAGCATCACACGTTCTTCAGGTTACATTCGCCGAAAATTCGAAGACGCTTCCCTTTGTCCCTAGGTTCTAAGTTTTATTATTCGGGGCGAACGGAATTTCAGACGGTGTCCGAGGTTAAACAGCGAGGACGATTGGAGCGTAAATTTGTCAGATCGCCCAGTAAATATGTGGTAAGTCAGTAATTAGCACTTAATTTTGCCATTCTGTAAAAATAAGATGTGAGACACTCCTGCGTTCGTATTTGATTTGACGCAAATAATAAAGGATTTGTGTTTTATCTGCTTGTTTTGTTAATGATATCATAGGGTTCTCAAATTGCTTCGTGTTACTTAAGGTAACAGGTAATGTGAAGTATGAGGTGGTATATCTCTACAAGGCACAGGTCCCGTTACAGTACCCCCTCCTTGATCATATGAATACAAAATATATTTGTCAAAAGTATAAATTTACACCAAATTAGATCTCATTACATTACCCCCTTCTTGTTTGCGAATCGGTGTGATTCGAAAATGATTCCAATTCAAAATCGGAGGCCCCAGTACCATGCCAAGTCTAATACTATAATGCACCCATCTATTTTCAAAGTGTGTTTGAGACCTAATAGTAGGGGAGGCCACAATGCTAAATGTGGATTTACTCGAGCGTTGTAGAGAACTATTGCAGATTAAATGGTAGAAAGAAAAATATAACTGTATGCTCCACGTGTTTTTGATAGTGGTGGTATGTTAATCTATCGGTAGGGGAGGATGAACGGAAGGGTAGAAAACTGGATTTATTCGAATGCTTCAGATATTTAGAGCGTTGTATGTATGAATTATGACACGACCGCCTGTGATCTCAGTCAATTGACATGCTTCAACTGAACTGAATTTTATTGACGATTTGTTTCACTTTGGGGTGTGGAAATCGGCAGATTATATTACTTCTGTTATTCTTGAATAATCAAATTGTCAGATTATTGAAGTGCACGCTTTTCAACACGTAGTCAACCCACCTTACTTTAATCTGACGCGCTTGAGTAAATCCCAAATCCCCTATTGGGCTTTCCAGTGCCGTAACTAGATTTCCTTACCTCTCACGCCCGTTATTTGGAAAGAAACAAAAATAGAAAAATCGAAATGTATTTTCCACAAAAGTACAGAGCAAACACTTGTACAGGGTGGCCAAATAAGAATGCGAGGTACTGTATCTGGGAACCTGTCCATCGTAGAGGCTTGCGGTAAAAGTTTATTACTAAAACGGCCACGAGAAAAACCTGGAAAATATTTTTAAGTTTGTGCAATGGCCGCTAGGGGGCGTAACTGCAATCTGGAATCTAAAAAAGTGATGTTTCTATGAATTCCGCTCTATTAACCTAACAAAAAAATGTCCGGTCTTTGAAGTTGACAATAATCTGAACCTTTTTTGTTTGAAAATTTTTCTTGTATCTCTAAAAATGAAGTGGTGGGGGGGTATTCAGAGGTTTCCATCACTTTTTTAGATTCCAGATTGCAGTTACGCCCCCTAGCGGCCATTGCACAAACTTAAAAATATTTTCCAGATTTTTCTCGTGGCCGTTTTAGTAATAAATTTTTTTACCGCAAGCCTCTACGATGGACAGGTTCCCAGATACAGTACCTCGCATTCTTAGTTGGTCACCCTGTACAAGTAGTTGTTTATAAAAAAAAATAAATAAAAAAAATATAAAATATAAATAGTATATTAAGATACAAGTGTATAATCAAGTCTTTAAAGCACGCGCAACGAGTTTAAGGGCACGACGCAAAGCGGAGTGCCTTTAACGTTGCAAGTGCTTTAAAGACTAATTATACGCGTGTATCTTATAGTATTTTTTATTATACCTGCAGTATAATTTAAAAGTAGGAAATACAATGAAGTCATATTGACGTTATACTCGAATACATGTCTAATTAAGTGGGCTCGGTGTTCGTAATTTCACGATTGCCATGGAAATGTCACTTGACGTTTGCTTATAAAAATCATCGTCTTTGTGAATTAAACGATTTCCATTGAAAAAGATAATACACCGTTCATTAAATCGCTTGTAAAATCTAAACAAACGTTGGTAGGTGTAAAATCCCAATCCAGTGAAGCCTATTATAAAGAATATGAAAAGTTGTTTCCATGGATTAATAGGAAGTTACTTACGAATACAGTCTTAAATGAATCGATAATGCTGGCATACATGAAGGAAGTGTCAAAGGTATTTAAATCTTCTATATTTTGGTGCATTCATTCAAAACTTCCAAGCAATGTTGCGATTAAAAAGTGGAACAGATTTGGAAGCATACCCTAAATTACGTGCGTTTGTGAAAGCTTCAACCAAAGGATGGGTACAAAAGCCAAAGAAATGTTCTGCATTTACAGAAAGCGACCTAAGAGGATTTTTTATTTCATCCAGATGACAGTTTCAAAAGTCATACTTGAAGTATCGTTACTTAGCAACTTTAAAGCACGTGTGTTTTAAAGGCCTTTTTTCGCACGCATTTGAGTGTTTAAAACGGAGATTGTGATTCAGGTATAATAAAATAGTTATTTATATAACAAGAGCGCGAAGTTCAATTTCGCGCATTGAGACTGAAGGTATTTTGACGAGGCGAAGCCGAGTTAAAATATCAGTCAAATGCGCGAAATAACTTCGCGCTAGCGTTATATACAATATTTTTTCTACAACTGAACCGATTGTTAATTAAATTGATGTTTAAGTTCAACTTTGTCCCGTGCGCGAAATACTTTTTTTCACTGTTGACGATTTCGCGCACGTTGTCAAGAGCAACCTTACTTATTAATTAACCGATTAAAAATCTAGTACTTCGCGTTTCGAAATCCGTCAGAAAATGACAGGTTTTTTTGACAGTTGTAGAAAAAAAAATTTTCACGTTTCTATAAACATCGCCAGACATACTTTTGTTCACGTTCGCTATGAAGCGGTACATGTAGAAATTTCCCTATGCTGACAAAAAAAATGTTCAGGAAAATTGAGTAGGGTAGGGTAGGAAAAATAAGACAATAATGTTTATTTATTACACAGTCTGAGCGTCTCCCCGAAGAAGAACTTACAATACGAGTAGGTACAGAAAACGCATTTCTTTTACTTGGTATTGTATTTTTTAAAGATTCGAATGAAATACACGTGTGACCTTTCATTTAATTTTGGAAATTGCGATCTGTTACAAAATCGGCTCTAGCAGCCAGAAAAATGAAATTTTTATATATAAAAATGAGAATGTGGGTTTGGAAACTAAATTTTTGTGAGACTTGGTTGAGTGTTCCTTTCACCAGGCTCATTTAAATGCGTCCAACAGTGATTTTTTTAAATTAGATCTCAAACTTAAGTTCAGATTCTTTGTCTTGTTTTTTCTTTTTACTTACATAAGATAACACCCAATCTTAAGATTACTGTATTTATTTGCAGGAGATATGAGTCGCTATTAGTCAGAGAAAATATTTTGACGACGTCATAAAAGAACCTTGATCGTCTCACAATCTGATTTTTGCATAATGCCCAAAATCAATTAGCAAAAAATGTTTTAATTTAGATTCATCAAACTGTTACACCGGCGAAAGTGGAGGATAAAACGAAATCATTAACGATCACGTCGCGGCCGTCTCGCCCATACGACAATAAAGTTACATCTCTGGGAGCGAAGGAGCCGAGAAAAGCTTGGGAAGATGACACACACCTTTCGGATGAGTAAGTAGCTGGCCTGACTCAGCAAAAATTCGCGCGGCATGCAATTAATCGTAAATCTGGGTGAATGTCGTGTGAAACGCGCAGGTGTTTCCACAAATTTTATGATCAGTTGAGCTTTTGACGTTACAGCGATGGCGGTTTTCTTGAGAAAACCCTGGAGGGTCCATTTTCACCCGGTCTGGCCGGTAGAGTGCTGAGTTATGCGGACGAGGAGGCGCCGTCGCCGACCACAAATGAGCTATACGATACACCACCGTACAGCGCTAGTCATTCGCCAACATCGCAAATGGTTGAAGAGGGGTTAGTTACGATAGTGCTGCATCCCGACGAGGATGGCAAATACGGATTTAACGTTAAAGGTAATGGGGCGAATCGCGAAATTGCTGTAGTTTAAGTCGTTCGGTGCAGGCGGAGCGAATAGAGACATACCCGAGGCCGGTGATCTACCGATTTTGGTGTCGCGAGTCGCGCCGAATACCCCTGCCGATAGATGTACCCCTCGACTTTCAGAAGGCGATCAGGTGGTGCAGATTAACGGCCGCGATGTGACGCATACTCACCATCAAACGGTAGTTCAACTAATTCAGGAGGCTCGTAGTACAAACGAAGGTACGCATAATTCGACGGGTAAACATGTGTCCTTGGAAACTCCCTGAAGATCCCTGCAATGAGATCCCATGAAAATTTTACTTTATGTAGCGTTTTTAAATCCATGACAATGCTTATTTGTCAATTTCCTAGTGATTTTTTTTCTGATTGGTGTAACGTCAAGTTTAAACTCAGTCTATCGCACTTACTCTAATGGTGATTTATGACGTCTACTTACGAAAATCCCGGTCGCGCTCATTTGATTAAAAAAGGGCAAATTTATAGAACGATTAAATTTTAATGGTCTAAAAGTAGAGGACTAAATTCGTCAACATATGCATTCTTTTCTATCAAAAATCAAACTAACATTTTAATCTAGTAGCGCATGAATGTTTTACACGCGGATGTTATTTTTTTTCTACACCCAAAACCGCCACCAATTTCTCCCTCGGCCTGATTACAATTGTGGATAAAAGCATCGGCCCTCTCTCTTAGGTAAGTTGGTTTTGGTGATTAAACCGAACGTGCTGTACACCGGAGAGGAGTACGAAGAGCCGCCTTACCAGTATGTACCTGTGGGAGAATTAATACGAACCCCATCGCCGAGCAACGCCCTCGAACAGAGCATGTTACTGCTAGCGGACGGAATAGCGAGCGGCGCTCTAATATCGCAATACGAGCTGCTATACCGCAAACATCCGGATCTCACGTGCGATGAGGCGGTCAAGCCGAAAAATATTAACAAAAATAGGTATCGGGACATTTTACCTTGTAAGTAGATTTAATCGAGCGATTCCCCGTCGTGGTGATATTCGCGCGGTGTTTCAGACGATACGACACGAGTGATTTTAAAAAACGCGTCGAGCGGCGACTACGTGAACGCCAATTACGTGAACATGCATGTTACTAGTACGGACGTTACCAATCGGTACATAGCAACTCAAGGACCTCTTCAGTCGACCACCGAAGATTTCTGGCAGATGATCTTGGAGGAATCCTGCACTCACATTATAATGCTGACGCCCATATTGGAAAGAGGGCGGAACAAGTGCCACATGTACTGGCCCAATCTCGGCGAAACTATGACCTTTCCCAACTGCACTCTCAAGTGCACGTGCGAAGAGACTGACGATTCCGGTAGTATTATTTTTAGGGATTTTATTCTTACAGATGTTAAGGTTGGTAACGTCCTTCATTTAGCGTGTCGCGCTCATATTTCAATTTCAGAATAACGCCGAACGAGAGATCAAACATATGAAGTACGTCGATTGGCCTGATCATGGAGTACCGGATTCTCCGGAAGTATTTCTAAATTTTATCGAGAGGGTGCGTGACGCGCGGAAGGAGAGCGCGGCGCCTTTCGTGGTCCATTGTAGTGCGGGAATCGGCCGGACGGGGGTGCTGATTTTGATGGAGACGGCGATGTGTCTTATCGAGGCCAGCGAGCCTGTCTATCCATTGGATATTGTGCAAGCAATGAGACAGCAACGTGCAATGATGATACAAAATGCTGTATGTATTGAATTCATATCATAATCTCTTTCAGGAATTTCAGGCAGGTAAAATTATCGTCTATAACTTATTTTTCGTGCAAAGGTGACAAGATTTGAATTTTTTCCATTTCCTGTCACGTCCATTTTTTTTGTGGCGAAAAATTATATGTTTTTAGCGCATCATTGAGGGCTCTTCTTCTTGTCTAATTAACATTATTAAAGTAAATTCTTTTGATATTTTAATCTCGTCTTCGAGAAAAACTGAAAAGGGACTTATTTCTGAACGCAAATGACCTTCCTGGCGTGCCCTAACAACCAATAGAAATCCCGCATTTCTCTCACAGAACGGAACGAAACGTTTAGGTCCCAAGAGATCGTGACAACCGCCCTCGCTTTCCGCTTGTTATCGTCAAACATACTTCCGTTCACGTTCGCTGTGAAGCGGTACATGTACAAATTTGCGTTGACAAAAAAAATTTTTCTTCGCCTTAAAAGAAATTAGGGTAAGAAAAATAAGACAATGTTTATTTTTTGCGCACTCCGAGCGTCTCCCCGAAGAACTCTCACAATAGGTACAAAAAACTCATTTTTTACAATTTCTTGGAGAGTGGGTTATTGAGACTAAAACGGTGCGCGCTCATGTTACACCTGCAGTGGCTTGGAGTCGTCTGGCAAAAAATTACTCACGTGTACTATCTCTTTAAACGTACCTAGCAGCGAACAAACTTGTACTATTAGAAAAAATTAAGATATCACGGCAACACTGGATTTTTACATCGGTTCAAAGTCAAATAACAGCATCCTAAAAGAATGTCTAAATTAATCAGGTGGTTCAGAAAGTGAGCCGTACTTACGTAAGTAGTGATACCCAAGTTATAGCCTCCAAAACGGAGAAAAATGCAGAAACTCATCCAAACTAAATTGAGGATCCACAAGATATATGTTAAATCGGCAGAATAATTATACTTGGAACTCATTAGTTTTATCCTACCCACCGCTTAACGTGCTGTAACTAGAATACTGAAAGAGGAAGAGGCTTTCGTGGAAAAATCCGCCGACAGGGGTCGGCATAACGCAATCACAGTTTACAATTTAGGTATGCGGGCGAATCTCAAACAATAATATTGCAGTGATCTGAGAAAATAAACTGTTAGTAATAGCATCAGCGAATACAGGTAAAGATAGAAGGAGAAGAATAGCGGTAGTTAATGTATCACGTGTACGGATCGGATGTTGTGGAATGCGCGGCATGCCATCCACTAAACGCTTGTCCAGCTAGCTCAAAACAAAACAACCTTTAAATTGTAAATATTTTCCTCGTAGACGTCCGGCTCCCGTCAGAATGAAAAATCTTGACTTTAAATTAAAAATTTGGGAGACTCAATAGCCTTGATCAACTTCCGAAAATTCATTAATACTTGCCATAATTCTTGGGCACGCAACTAACATGAAAACCTCCATCCGGGTCGCACAATGGATTCGAATAAACACACAATTAATTGATTGTCAGTGACAAACAATCTTATAAGCTTGTTCAGACATATTACCCCGCACACAAGCGGTCAACAATTAAAATCAACATCTTAAAATCACCTACAGTTTTTTCTTAATAGTCCAAATAATCTGGTCGTGTAAGGTTTGTGATAGTAGGCACACTAAAACTGATACAAAAACACTCACTGACAGGGTCAAGAATCTTTACCTTTCTTTATATAACGATTGGATGACAAACAAGACTGACTTGATGAATACAATGACACATTCTTGATGGCTGTTACGACGGTACAAACTTTTAACTTTTAATAAGAAGAGAAATGACGAACGCATCTTATACTAAATAAATAGGGCTGACTGTCCTAGAATTTAGCGTAAACAAAATTTTCACGTTCTCCAACCGTCACGAAATTCGCAGCCTCGTTTTTACGTTGTCTCTAAAATTTAAGGAAACGCCACTTCCACCTTTATAAAGTAAACTCTTTCTTTAAGAATTTTCAAATAAATCGCGTTTGTACCGACTCACGTTGCCAGCACCCCAACACGTGCGTTAATTAAATTTCGCCTAACAACAAACTCCTTATCGCAACGGCCAGATGCAACACACAAATTCGACCAGATGTGTCTACTTCTAGCACCATATCTAAATTGAATAATTTACAAAAGCGATAAAATTGAAACGAAAACTACTCAATTACACAACTCCAAAAGGAAAACCAAACACTGAAATACAAATTCAAATGAAACGAATTAACAGGATACACAATATAAATAGCAAAATACCTTATATTTCAAGTTTCAGGTTCCCCATGGCGACAATATTTAGCCCTACCTCCACTCCACCCCCAAAATCAGTTCATTATTTTGGGTAAATGGTTTTGGCGTGCTTTCATCTTATGATTCCCAAGCGGTAACACTTATTGCATATCGCGGTTGCTCTTTCCAAAGAGATGCGAATGATTGTTATAGCACCCACGCGATACATTTAAAAATTTTATTTGGACAAAAGCACACGAAAGTGCAAGCGTAGGCCTCACTCAGGCGTTTGATTAAGTTCTAAAATTCGGGCACATATTTCAACACATACACGGCGACGGTAATTTCTGCACTAGGACAAAGTTATTTATTGCACAAAGCGTACGTTCATCATTTTATTGGATTAAAGGCTACGCACAAATGCTTTGGAGAGCACTTTCTGAATGCTTCCTAGAGTCTCTTAGGTGTTTCTCACTATACATACGGAGATCATATCTCTAAACTTTTTCTGACCTCTTTTCTGTGGTTTATAGGCCTTCAACGCTGTGGCGAAGACTCGAGTAACTATGGAAAGGGCCTAGACAGTATAGGAAAGGCGGAGGAATGTTGTTGAAAGCGCTTTTCTTGGCATTCTTTTTTTCTCTACAACCTTTTGCTGTTTTACAACTTGCACGTTAGTAAATACGGGATTAGAAAAGGACCCTCCCCCCCACACTTGGTATGATTGTGGAGCAGGCTGTAAGCAAAAGATGCAAACGGTTTATGTTGTAGAACGGTACATTTTCTTTCGATTGCCCTCAAATGAGTTGCATTCGAAAACTGCAACCATCGATTCTTTTAAATCGGGTCGAAATAACGAGTTGTGATTTTTATTTCAGAGTCAGTATCGATTTGTCTGTGAAAGCGTGCACGCCGCGTACACGCAAAAAGTTGTAAAACCGAGGAATAATATTACGAGGTGAGCTGAAACGTGATCCGGTCCATTATAGTATCAAGTCGACGACGATTTGCATCACGGTCGGTTTAGTAGTGAATTTGTATATGATCTGAATGTTGTAAAGAATTGCCATAATTATAATAATTGTTATGATTTAATTTGTACTGAAAAATACGGAAACTATAGATATTTTTTAGTCGTATGGTGTATATACGTGCAACAATCTGTCGGCATGGCTATTGTCACTATAAAATTTGTAGTATTATTTATTTTTTATCTTGTGATATCTCTGTACAGTAATAAGCTTAAAAGCCAACGCAATTTTTTGTCTATTGTGATTTTTTATAAAATTTTTTGATATATTCAACACTATTTTTAATTCTTCCTGTACCTAGAGATATTTACTTACAAAGTGTGAATATTTATCTTCCATCCAAAACCACCACACAAAAAGTGTTTGTGATTTTATGCCTTAGACGGTAATGCCAACATAGCCTTAAAGACAATCATCCATCACAGGCTTCCTTAGCAGATTGCTAAATTGAATAGTTATGGAAAACCGGAGAGTGTTTCCTAGTGTTGTGTGAAGAATGTTCCAAGATCATCATCTTTTTGTATACTGGAAACACTTCTAGTGCCATATTTATGCGTGAAAATACTCAGTTTTGGACTAATTTTCGGTAACATATTTTGCAGTGTTCACGTTTAAAAAAACATTAGTACTTACATTAACATTTTCAAAAATGTCTTATCTGATCTAAAACACTGCCAAAATGTACAATGAGAATGAATTCAGTAAGGGCTTTGTTTTTCGAATTTGTATTTGGGCGCATCTTAAAACATATCAAATGAAAACGAATCCATTTCTGAACACTCTTCTCGACGGGTAGCTAAATTGTTTACAAAAATTTGTATGTGTTGTGTATACATATTATAATTATTTAAATGTAGATGTTAATAGGAATGTTGTTATTTTGAAAGATATTAAATTATTTTTACAAATTTTACTAATAAACTGAATAGTGTGCGTTATTTAATTTTAAAGTGCAATTATACGAGGCCATGTTCGTAATTTCTTAGCGACAATTAATTGATTGGAAATAAAAGTGTTGTAATTTTCGTACTTATAACTTGAATGTTTTCTTGCAGTCATAGTAGTTTTATTTTTTTAATGCGATCCACTGTATCTGTATTACTAACAATTGTGTATGCAACATAATATTATGTAATGTAGATATATGCTTATTCTCGAGTACAAACTTGTGTAGCTCACTTAAGTACCTCCCTTTTGTAATACGAACGTATTCTCTTAGGTTTTAAGACAGATTGTATTACACTTATGTAACTTTATTATGTAACAGATTCATATTGTGATTGTATATTGTTTCAAATAAATTTCCAATATTACATCTTATCTTTCGAAAAATAGAAAAACAAAATTTCAAGCGCTGTAAAATTGCGTTTTTTTAATTCATAAACAAAGATTGTATTATAGTAACAATACAATATGTTACTCAAATGTTTCAATAGTACGAAGTTAGAAATAACAATGATCTGTAATGGCCTTTGGGTAATGGCAACCCAGGTAATATTGAATATTTTTATAATATAACAGCAATATTCAAAAAAGCGTATTTGAACATGTCTTAAATATACCTAGAATATATAGGTGCCTTGTAAGACATACTAGGGCATTGTTTAAATAGTTTATTTAAACAATGACTAGGGATATGCGAATGGGAATATAACCGTAAACTTAATTCTGAATATTCTTAGAATATGATGCATAATTATATACCACTGAAGATATGCTGAGTATAAACAGTTTATTCCGGATATTCTTTGTATATTTCTGACATTTCGGAAGTTAAACTTGAAAAAACGGTATCCCTTCTCAATATTCTACAATTTGGAAGTATGAATATTCACAGGGCATTATAAGTTTATTAAGTGTATAATGATATACTATATAATATGACTAATAACTGCCGATGACTAATCTTTCATGGCGTCTTGATGTCGATCGGGATTTTTGGAATGTTCGCTATACTGCCCCCCTACCCTCTTAAAACTGAGTCAGTCCTAGGCAACTCTAGTTCTACAGAGCGAATTTGCGCGCTACCTACTTGCACGATGTCCCACGAAATTTTTGACAGTTGATGGCAACCTTCATTTAATCGGATTATTTCCAATTCTCGCATGTCCCAGGTATGGTTAAACGGCACAGAATGTGATAAATGAGACTAAAATTCAATGCGATTAAACATTTATTATTGACATCGCCTGATATCGAAAAAGAGTTACCCATGTTTTATGCAATACAGTACGAATGAAGTATCAACACAAAATGCGTACCACCTTGTATGTAGTATAGTTGCTGAATGCCGCCATGCCACGATTTAGTGTGTTGCTCTCATAGATAAAATTATCTATGGTTGCTCTCACAGAGTTGTATATAAGTAAAATACAACTGTGGTTGCTCTATGGAAATATGGCAACGTAGCGTTCGCGTTCAACAATGTTATGTTCCTATTTAATTTTGTTCAATTTTAAATTTCTGTTCAGGAATAGATTATTTATTTGAATTAGCAATGAAGCCCTGTATTATTTGTAAAGATAAAGAGGGCAAATACAAGTGTCCAACCTGCTTAGTTTATTAGTGAGTACTTTCTGCGTTCATAACCTCAAATTTGACAAAATAAACTTTTTTTAGTTGTTCCGTCACTTGCTGCAATGAACACAGAAACACAAAATGCACGTTGACTAAACGGAAAGAAGAAGAAATTGTTGAAGATAGTAACAAGTACGAATTTAGGGCAAGAGATACGATTCCCCACAAGAAATTAAAGCTGCTCGGTAAGACGTAAACGGTTATTAATCAGCTGCTGACATTAATTTTTAGAGGAAGATAAAACGTTAAAAAATGTACTTGCCAATCCTCACTTACGTTCCTTATTGAAGACTGTCGATAAATCCGAGCAACCGGAGACCATCATGCAAAAGGCGATGTTAGAGCCTATCTTTGTAGAATTTGCGGATGCTTGTTTAAAAGTGGTTGAACCGGAAAGCACTGATGATTAATTTTTATGTACTCGCAACTAATTTATATATTTTTTCTAATATTTAGTAATTATAAGTTGGAAGTTGTTTTATTCTCAAAGGGCAATGTAGGGATCGCTCACGGCGTCATATAGATAAGTGTATACAGGCTGTTCTACAAAATGGGCCTCGGGTTATTTAATCATTAACAAACTCATACAGTGATATGAGTGATATTCATGTATAATAGAAGTAGACATAGGGTTATTTCCTATGTCTAGATGATAAAAATCTCCTGAAAGACGCCTAATTTTATGCAACCAAAGTAACTACCTACAACAAATGAGGATCTGCCTGTTATATTAATTAATTTGAATATTATCGCTATGACTTCCCCTTTCTAATTTCGGTTCGTGTGCGATGCCGATATTTAAAGGAGCTTATTTTCTGTGAAGGTAAAGCAACAATATTCTAATTAATATGACAGCCAGATCTTTATTTGTTTCATGAAGTTATTTTGGTTGCATAAAATTAGGCGTCCTTTAGGAGACTTAAAAGTAGACATAGGAAATCCGTACGTCTACTTCTACATGAATATCACTGTATATTATTAAATGATGCTCTCGTTCTCCGGATTTAAGTTGGACTTTTTCCTGTGATGTGAATTAAAAACAATGCAGTGGGGTCAAAAATGGCTACCACCCCCTGAAATATCTGATGCATAGACATTAACATTTAACAACCTGTATTTTTAGCGCATTTTCCAACTCATGTTAGGAAGGCTCTATTATGGCCACTTTCTCCGTCCGTCTGTCCGTCCAAGGCCTTAACTACTTCTACAGTTTTCAAGATATGTAGGTAGTTCATTCTTTTTGCATTCGGTAGCTAATAGCTCTGGCACCTCAACCAAGAAAAACCTTGACGATTAATGTGCGCATGCGCAAACTGCGCGTTGTCCATTTTCTTATTTATGGAGATATTTTTTTAAAATTTTAACCACAGATGCTTCTAGTAAAGACAAGCATATCGCATATTGGAAAAATCAGATGTGCGCATGCGCAGACTACGCAATCTTAAATTTCTTATTTATAAGAATATTGATGCCATAACTTATATTCCTTTGTACACACAACACAAGTAGTCCGTTGTATGACCTGTCCGGAAGTACTGATGAATTCATGGAAAATGCGCTACAGTTACTCGCCTTAAGGTGGGACTTGAAGCGGGCATTCGCTACAGAAACGAGCGTGACTGGTAGCACGACCCCTTCACAAATTCGCAGCGCCACCCGTAGCGGGAAGTTATTTTCAGTAGCGGCACCACGCAAGACAAGACAAGTTTTATGCGAGGAAAGCGCACGCACCAAGAGAGGCCACCGTTTTTAAAAAAAAATGGGGTCTAGTTTGAGCAGACCGTCCATCTCAGTGCACTGGAAGTTACAGCTATTTCTCGGCTATTTATTTCAGTTTCGTCACTTGCCGTTTTTATTGCACGAAGGTACATTAGTTTCTTGAAATTGCGTTACATTTATTTTTGCCGTTTTGTCCTGACAACTTGTTTTCAAACAAAATTTTGCTTTTGTTTTCTAACGTCATTTGAATTAATGTTTTGTCGTTGAATTTTAATTACGAGTTTTAGTGTTCGAGTGTATTCTGTGGTTTGAGTTACCCAATATGTGTTAAACGTTAATCGTTGATCTGGCATATTTTTATGAAGTGCTGTCAATACCTATCATACTCCTGAGCTCGAAAAGAGATAGTGAAGAGGCAGGTACAGGGATGGTAAATACTGTAACCCATAGATATATTAAAACCCTGTAACCAAACTAGTAACGACATCTAAGGCTCAACATCTCAAGTGTAGGCTTGAATATCCCGCACGAGGGACAAGTTACTATTCTCAGGGGTGGAAACCTGCTAACAAAAGCTTTTCGGTTTTGAATCTATGTACGATACGAGTTGCGATTCACTATTTTTCACCTGTGAGTCACCTGTTGTACAGGCTAATTACTATCCGACAAGGACTCCATTTATTTTAATACTTAAAATGAACACTTAGTCAAAAAATTACACGCTAATAATTAAACAGATATAGAATTTATCACAGTTCATCACGAGCAACGGGCAGAGCTAAATATTGATATAAGTCGCTGGGTATACTAATGTTGTACAATTCCGCAGACAATAGACTGTAGCGTTTACGTAAGTGATGAGCGCCCGCTTTGGGCTGACGATCTCGCGTAAAAATACCCTTTTTATTTCCTCCAACTCTCGTGTAAGCTGCCAAAAAAGCATTAGTTGTGTATATACTTCGGTTGTTACTTACTTTGAGCAGTCTTAAAATCGGCAAAATTCCATACGAATTCACCTATGAACCAGCCCTTTGCTCTTAATTTGTCGAACGCCTTGAAATGATCCGATAGTACACCCACCTGGTATTCTTCGGACCATATGTAATCGGGAAGCTGCAATTCAAATACAATCCAATACTATTTACTACAGTAGAGCTGTACATACGATGTGCAATCCAGCCATGGTATCCGCTCCATATTCTGATATTAATACTGGTTTGTTATACTTCTTGTGCCACGCGGTGGCTTCGTCCACGATGTTACCGACAATCATGTCGAGGCGTCCAGGAGATTGATACCAAGCGTTGTATCGATTAAAGCTGATAATATCAAGGTGGAAACCCTTAACACAAAGCCGAATCAGCTGAAATGTGTGCGAATAAAAAAATTCACTTACCGACTTGTCTTCATTGACACCTCTGGCGATTGCAATAGTTATGGGCCGTGTATCATCTAGCTCCTTGATATGTTTGGCAACTTCCCTAAAATTCACACATTATAGTTGTTGTTTTTTTTAAATTTTGACTTTATTTTTGAGTGGGCGGGATTTCATCCAAGGCAGCTCTACCAACCCAACCCACTATACATTTACAAATATCCATGCTCGAACCCGGATTCGAACCAGCGACCCTTTAGCAGCACAGTTCAGCTTTAACTGAACTGCGCCACACGGGCCGATATGATCCGATGTCTACCTACTTACCCAAAGTATTGTCCGGCAGTCTCGGTTTGAGTTCTTGGTTCGTTGGCAATTGACCACATGATCACGCTCGGATGATTCTTATCCCTCCTGTAAAGCTCGCTCAGCGAATCCTTGTGCTTTTCCAACAGACGATATGAAAATGCGCTAGGCTGGGGTTCAAAGTTTCACCTCGTCAGAAATATACTCACTCCGTGTCGACGCTGGGACATTCGTCGATGATCATTATTCCGAACTGATCCGCCAAGTCCATGAGCTCGTCGGCGTAAGGGTAGTGCGATGTTCGGTAGGCGTTTCCATGCACCCATCTGATCAGGTTGTGGTCCCTGATAGCGGTGGGAAGATCGAGACCCTTGCCGCGAATGTCGGCGTCCTCGTGTCTGCCGAAACCGTGGAAGTATACCGGTCGATTGTTCAATAATAGGCTGGTGTTTGTCCACGAAATTGTTCTGATACCGATGGGCTGCCTGTAGATGTCCAATAGTTCACCTTGAATGTTGCGCAATTCGACCTGGAGGGTGTAGAGATAAGCGGGTTCGCTGTGCATCATGTAAGGCCACCATAGATTGGCGTCGGGCACTTTGAGCGCACCTTCACCAAAGCCGTCCGCCCCGGCGACTTTATTGCCAAACTTATCTAGTAGTATTACGATGCAGGTTACGTTATTATTTAAGGGGTAGCCGATGCTGTAGAAAACCAAGCCCGTTGTTCCACTGACGTCGGTGCGTACCGTTATATCGTCAATGTACACTAAGGGGGTCGTGTACAGTACCACCGGTCTGTGTATTCCTGCGTAATTGAAAAAATCGAAGGTGTAACTTTGGACCAACTTCTTCCCTTGATCCCTGAAAAATCCGTTCTGAATTGTAAAAAGATCAAGCGCAACCCTCTTACGTGTTAGCCTCGCGCACCGCTCCTTGCGGTACCGTATCCTGCAAAAGTGTGTTATCGCACGCGACTGTAATTCTATTGCTGCCTCCGAAGTTTAATAAGGGACTGATGTCTTTCTGGAAAGGAAGATGGCCCATTTCATGGTTCATTGCCAACTTCCCATTGACCCACTGAAATCACCCATTTTTAATACCTATCCAATGATGGCCGCGCAATCCAACGTACCACTTGCGCCGCATAGGAAACCGAAGAAAATCTTAGCACGACTCGTTTCTCCTTGGCCCAGGACTCCGGCACGAAAACTGTCCTGTCATACCATACCAAACCAACGTGATCCCTAATGTCCATACGGGTTGTGATATCGTTGTAACTCGAAGGGACGGGCATCAAGTGAACTTCCAAACCGTCAATCTGCACAACTAGCATAATTCACCATGCATTTTGTAACGCAATACAAACCTTGGAGAGATCGTTCTTGTACCAATACTGTCGAAACCCGACGAGAGGATCGAGCATCGGCGACACGGCAAAATTCCAGATGCCGTCCAGTCGCAGAATTTCCCTCGTTTCCGATTCGCGTGGAAACAACATTCCCTCGGGAGAAATCGCGAAATCCATGCCCATTATCAGTGTCCATATTAACAGAGCGATTGTAAACATAGTCTGGTAAGTCTGAAATGAAGAGGAATAATTATCGATGGCGCAATGCTGACTGTGTATGTTAATGTACTATTGACGGTAACGGTAGTTAATTACAATGGTGATAAAGCACGGGGGAGATAGAAAACACTTACCAGAAGTACGCATTCGTTTAGTAACGGTTCGCAAAGAAAGCGTCTCTCTTTTTGCAAAAGGTCTTATTTTTATTTTTAGCATTGTTTTATTCAATATTTACAATGCAAACGCATTTGTTGCTCGTAATCTTATCAGTACCAAATGTTTTTTCGTGCCACAAATGTATCCACTTTCGTGATATGTATGTTTTATCGGTCACGTTACTCGCATTTTTGTGTCTATGTGTAAGTCGGTGCTTAGAATTATCACGATACCCTCATATTCCATTTCCCTGACAATACTTTGTGTGAGAACTTAGACTGCTCTTTCCATCCCTAAGTATGAGAGTAAGATTGTAGGTTACAGATTAATCTCAGTTCTAGGAAGTTACATCAATTCGTTCTGAGAAATACCCAAAGGTTAAGAAAATACAGTGGATTACCCACTTTTTTTGGGAAGTTTATATTAGTTGCCTTCAGTGACCTTAAACTTGATTCGAGATAAACACAGACCTTTACGCAATTTCTTATTTTGTCCGTTCCAACACCGAAAAACGTATTTCTTTTCCTGTGTATCCAAGAATATTGTTGTCCGTTCTGAACTTCATTTGATTTCGTGCTCCGCGTACGATTTATAATAAGACTTACAGATGTTACGTTATCACGTTATCTACTTTTACTATTAAAATGTCAATTTAACATCTGGTTTAGGTCTGTCGTCGTCGCTCGTCATAATTAACTCGTCTTTATTTTGGGGCGTATCGTCCATGTCTTTTTTGACACCAGTCTTTGAGTAAAATAAAAATCCTACCTTATCACGTCGAAAAGTCTAAATGACGTCCATCAGGGCCTGCACAAAAACCTAATGGACCAACAACAATTCCTCGTTGGAAAACTTTTACACTAACATAGAGAGAAAATAAGCACAAAACACATAAATTACACATCAGGAAAAGATTAACACCGGAAAACAGTTGACACTTCAAATGAAAATTGAATTTGATAGCTTTGAACGCGCGTTAGGTAACTTTACCTGGACGATCATGTGCCGTAGGGTTCAATTAGCAATTAGTTTAGGTGGGAAAGTTTCCATTTTACACACAAATTGAAAAATCTTATATTTTACAGTTATATAGATAACTCATCGATAAGATTTCTAGCAGATTTCACACGCAAACACGAATTACAATTGAAAAATCCTGATTGAAATAAAAATGAACAAATTCGGTTTACCTTATTTACATGGCGTCTGAATCTACCATTGGAGCAGTTCAACTTTAAGGAACTGGAACAGCCTCGAATTTTAGCGTTTGTGGAATGGAATCAAAACAAATGTCGCTTAAACCTGACTCGTACCGGAAGGTGAACTTCTCGGGTTACAATCTTCTACCAAAGCACAGCGTGCATAGTTCTTGTTTTGCACTGCTGGAATTGAAATTTAAATTTGCGAGTGATAAGTTTTTGCGGTTATTGTATTCCACAGTAGAGCTGTCAATTTATGTACCTACGATTCACTTAAACTATTGCAAAAATATCGTGTAAATTTTTTTTCTGAGGGGGACATGTAACGGTAGCTCTAATTTTGGATTTAATTTTTTTCGCATTTTTGATAGACATGGGTAAAACAGAATTCCTGGGGATTTTTTAGAGGTGTGCATTGTTAAAGGTTTATTATAGAAATCCACAGGGTAGAAAATATGGACGTTGATTTTTCCAATAAATTATATTTGGTGGAATTGTAAAGAAAGCTTCGTAAGCGAGTCGCGGAATTAACAACCGTCTCTTCTGCGTCTCTTGATTCCTATAAAGTATTGTTCTCTTAATGGGTTCCGGAAATCTATATAAAGAGCAATTTTATCTCACTAGGGTTCGACTTGCAAAAAATAGCAAGTTACGTAGCGATTAGATTAATGTCCATATTGTAACATGGCAAATTAAGCACAATCCCCATGCATGGTTTTTAACTTCCAATAAAATTGGGTTTTAAAGAAAAATGGTTTGTTTAATTAAGTTGACGTCGTATGGGAAAAATGGGAGCAGTTAGAAAGAAGAAAAAACGTGATCGTTGTGTAATCGTGTTTCTGTCACATAAAGGATAACCGCAGTCGCGATCAAGGACAAACTAATTCAGCGCGCCAGTATATTTTCGTTACCATAAAGAGCAGAGGACCAGATGCTTCGTTGGGAACTAATCTCGCCTAACAAACTCGTTACTCTTCTTCTTGCCGTTGAGAGGAATCTCAACGGCTCTTAAACGGATTGCGTGGAGGTCCTGCAAGCGAGTGTTTCTCTTTGCGCCTTCTGCCGACTGCTTCTGGTAAAGCACGCGGGGGTGTTAATGGTTAAGGGCGGTACAGGTGCGCGTGCATATGTAGCTAACGATAGTTCGAGTGCGTTGGCGTACCCTTGTTGGTATACCGTAAACCCTTAGGGAGTGTAGCCGCAACAACGTTTTAAATGAGGTATCATTATTCCATTTATGTAAAAATAAAGGTGTGGATCTTTAACAAATCATCGGCAATTTATATTGATTGAATTTGTACGTTCTTAAAGGTATCAATCTATGGGCAATTGAAGCCGTTTTGTATTGCATGTATTTTCCTATTTAAAAGCGCACTAGAATTGGATTTGATAGATGAAAAATTAGTTTTTCATTTAAGGTGGGTTCATTGTGATATAATTATCTAACACATGAAATAGACAACTTAGAAGGACCCCTTGCAAGGTTTTAGCCTTTTAAATTTAACTGAGTTGTTAAAATGATGCCTGTTTGACTGTTTGTTTTTCTGCATCCCACTTTCCTTTAGATCTCGCATTCTATTTTTGCTGCCTTCTCACACAGGTTTTTTCTCGAATTGAGTTAATACGGCTCCCGAATTTTTACTGACGAACCGGTTTTATTTTCGTTAATTTCCCAGACGAGTTCCCCTGAACTAATCTTTGCAAACGTTTCAATGCGAGGCTTTTAGCGCATTTCCACAAAAATAAAAAAAAATGCGCTATTGTGGCCACTTTGTCCGTCCCTCCGTCCGTTCGTCGGTCCGCCCGGCTGTCCGTCCGTCCGTCCGCTCGTTCGTTGAGACGCTACTAGTTCTTTATCTTAAGAGCTATTGTTCTACTTTTTTCGCTATTTGGTTCGTTATGGTGTCGAGTCTTGTACCAAGGAAGGAATTTTTTTTGTACCGCTTACAAAAAAAGTTATTGTAAAAAAAACAAAAAACCGTTTTTTACATGTTCCATAATTTTACACTTTTGCCGTTTATTAACGATCCTAGAGATCGTTTATAATTTTGCATTGCTATCTGTCGTCTGTCTGTTGGTCTGTCCGTCTGTTCCTTTGTCTGTCTGTCCATCTATCTGTCCGTGTGAACGATAATTTTGTTTAGAAATGTCCGATCGCTTTTACATCTCCGTTAGTTATGAACTGAATTGCATGAAATTCAATATGGGCATAGCTTTAACCATATAATACGCAATGCCAAAAGTTGAATCGAATCGATTCAAAATTCACAGTGCCCTTTTCGCACTCGACCATTTATAAACCGAATTGCAAACTTTTTTACTTATAAAAGTATTTGAATGAAATTTGATACATAGGCACTTGGAATAAAGGAAAATCAAACGCCAATTTCAAAATTTGGTTTTGCGCATGCGCTGTGCCAACTTTTTTATTTATGGAAGAATTTAAACGAAATTTGATACATAGGCACTTGGGATAAAGGAAAATCAAACGCCAATTTCAAAATTTGGTTTTGCGCATGCGCAGTGCCCACTTTTTTATTTATGAAAGCATTTAAATGAAATTTGATGCATATGCGCTTGGGATAAAGGAAAATCTAATGTTAGTTTCAAAATTTAGATTTGCGCATGCGCAGTTCCAACTTTCTTATTTAGAAAAGCATTGAAATTAAATTCTTCTTATAAAAAGAAATTAAAGTAGCACGTCAAAAATGGATTGCACATGTAAAACGCTATCTTTCATATTTGTGATCGGATTTTTACGATTTTAACAGAAGTTGCATCTTACAAATGGGAAATGAATAAAAGTGGAAATGCGCTTTTTGTAAATCGTTTACGATTACTTTTTAACTTGTTAAAATTCTGCACTTTTAATAACCAAACGAGCTCTACCACGGCTCAAGACGTATATACATATAACTTTAGTTCATCGCAATTAGCTCCTGTCACACCACTCAATTAATTCCAACACCACTCCTATTTAAGACATGATCCAAATCAACCAACGAAATCGCTCTACATCCCAACTGTGATTTACATCTCAAATCCACGCGGCCAACTCCCGTAATCAACATTGTATAGCAGTTCCTGGGAACTTACGCTAACCTCGCGCCAAACTGAATAGGATTTTGCTAGGGATTTTGGATATCAAAATAATGTTAAGAAAAGCAAATTGAGTTGGAGCCGCGTATGTTTATTACCCGTTGCTATTAAACCACATTAATCTTAAGTATCATCAGTTATTCGAATAACCGGTGCCCAAACAAAACATTGAAAACGCCATTATTAAAACAAAAGAAAAATTCCATGACATCTTGTCTTCGTTTTACTGAATTAAAGTGCGCCTAATTCTTTTGGAAAATTGTTGATTTAAAGGGAAATAACAAATTAAAAAAAAAACACTATCTAATGGAACCACATATTTAAAATACCTTCAAATTGCCCCCTCAGTGTTGGGCCTTGTAGTGGTTGTGGGGTTTGAGCGGTTCAGTGATCAAGGGGGCGTGTAACGCTGGGCTCGATCCGGCGTATGACGGCCCCAAGTGAGAATCCAGATTAGTTCAATTCGTTGTGTATGAATCTGCCTTTATTATTGTCTTTAACTGTTTCGTCCGTGCAGAGGTAAATGCTGTAGTGTTAAAATTACTTAGCGGCATTAAT